TTTAAGAGTATTAAAATCTATATCTATTCAAATCTATCAAATTTCATTTTTATACATTGGTTATTTTTAATAGTTTATTTTTGTTGTATTTTTTTCATTACCATTCATCCCCTTTATACCCTCTTCCGCTTCCTCCCAGCCCCCACCCCCTTCACCATCACCACATTATTGTCTGTGTCCATGAGTTTTTGGTCATTTGAAAGATGATGTGAGTAGTGAAATTCTGAGTTGATAAATTTATGATGTAACAAATATGAATTTCATAGGTATGGAATTGGCTTGTCATACATCTCCTTGGATGACAAAGACAGACACCTCTCTTCCCTACCAGTGTCTGAGGGCTGCGGGGTTGGTGGGTTGCGGGAGGCTGGGTCGTCTGAATGAGGAGTGCAAGTTAGAAAGGATTCCTCAGTTTGTCCGCAGCCATCTGACACTTCAATATGAGAAGCTGGTGAAAAAAATCTTCCTTATACATATTCTAATTTATACACATTTTTAATATATTCATATATGTGCTATATGCACACAAATGTTCTTAACACAAACAATTAACTATAAAAATGTTGTCTGAACAAAACACAACTACACTCAAAGGTAGAAATGAATTAAAAGTGTTTGTTTGCCATTATCTATTTTCACTGTTAGAAGGTACAGAACATGCAAACACCTGGAGATGAATACGTGTTCATTTGACAAACTTTTCCCATGTTAGAAAAGAAGGAAGCTATTGAACTGGAAAGTGGACTGCATTTTCAGTGTGGGACAGCAGTGTTTCCAGCAATGTAATTCTTACTTGTCCACTTCAGGAATCTATGGTCTGTATCTCTCTCAATCCCTCCTCTTTCACAGATCTCCATCTGTTACATTTTCTCAGTTTTGTATCAATAAACTTTCCTTGTCAATGTATCCCCTCACAAACCGATAACATATAATAATTAAGTAGCTTCTCAATCTTTAAAAAATTGATATACACACACACACACACACGTGTGTGTATGCAACCTGACCTCAAGTGACTGTCTTACTTTTCCCCAATATTTCTTAGCAAATTTTCAAATATTTAAAAAATATTTTATATTCAGATTTCTTCTTTCTCATCCCTCATTTACTCCTCAACCACCTGTTGGCTCTCATTCATACCACTTTACTATAAGAGATTTCATGCCAGAGTTACATATATGCTCTCTTGTTCCTGAAGAATACAATGAACAGAGAGAATGTTCATCCTAAATAGATATAAATCTATGTGGCTACATCTGTATATGTAAGCATGTATATATATACACATATATATGTATAAGTGTGTGTATGTGTATACCTATATATGTATAAGTAAGTACTCTGCTATATCTACTAAATTAGAATCACAGATAAAGTATCTCATTCCAAGAACATCTTAATTTTTATGTCAAATAAAAATAACATTTATTTAAAATCATAGAAACCAAGTGCTAACTACTAAATTTTCAAAGAAGCCTTGGCATCAACAGAGTGTGTGTCCTTAAGAGAAGTGTGTGTCCTTAAAGTATAGAAGCCAATATATTAACAGAAAAAAAGCAGGATTGTTGAATATGAGAGATTCATTAATTTTACAAAAATAAATATGATATGAATCATTTAATATGTGGTGTAGCATGTCACAAAATGCCTTTGTTTAAAAAATTGAGTTCCTATAAAAGGTGAAGGGGATGAGGAGCAGTGTTTCTAGAAAATAATATTTAGATTGGATATTTTTAGAATGTACACATAGAAAAAAATGGCTTTAAACTAGTAACTCCTTCATTTATTCAATCAATTGAACAAACAGTAAAAATAGAGGGTAGACTACAATTGAATAAGAAAAGGACATAAAACCTTTTTATTTGGAAAAGAAAAAAGAAAAATAATAAAACTTATGATAAACCTCTGAGACATTGTTGTGCTAATCCTGGATGCAGAGTTTTGGAAGAGAAAAGAATCACAAGTTTAAATGGAAATAAAGGACAAACTGGCAGTGACCAGAGGGGAAGGGGGAGGGGGTTAGCGGGGGACAGAAGGGGGAGAGGCCAGCCAAGGGACTCTAAGGGAGGACCCACGAGCACGGAGGGCGTGGGGGGCTGCCTCCGGGAGTGCGGTGGGGCAGGGCCCGGGAGAGCGATGGGGAAAAGGCGGGACAGCTGCAACTGAACCACCATAAAAAAAGAAAATAAATAAATAAAAAAGAAAATTACTTATCACTTCTCTCTTTATACATTTATATTCTTCTATTTAAATTTGTTTAAAAAGTGTGAAATCCTTAAAATTAAGATACATCTTGGGCACACATTCTTATATAGAACATAAAATCGATTGCCGTATTCACTTAAGAGCCTCTTCCTTTATGAAGAAAAATATCTAGAGGTGACCAAGATTTCCTGGTGGATGGTTTGGAAATTATAATAAAGGAAGAGATGATTTATCTAACCTTTTACCCTTAAAAATGATACTATTCATATGGCTTCTATACTTCTATCATAAAACAACTAAATATACTTAAAAACTAACTACGAGATGTTAAAAGTATCTGGAAAATCGTAAAAGTAAGATTAATTGGTAGAATTCTGAGATACATTGAATTTTGGGTTAAACTTTGTTTTGAGTCCTTCAAAACATGGTAATATTGTATTACTTAGAACATTTAAATAAGCTGAATATTCCTTGCCCCATATCATGTTTTGTAATTATAAACTTGTCCTATGAACAGAAATAACGTTTCCAGCTTTTGTTAGTCTCAATTTATTGTCATGTATTAAGAACTATCTTGGAATCTATGCTCTCTGACAGATGCCTAGAGTTCAATGTTAAACAAGATTCTGAACCTATCTTGTAGGACCATGTAATCGAGAGAGGGGACAGAGGATAGACCCCAAGGGTAGAGTACAGTGTAGGGGACACATAAACCTCCATACAGTGTGCTATAGAATCAGAGCACAAGTATCTAAACAAGCCTGAGGGAGGAGGGGTGTGTTAGAGACATCCTCGGTGTGGGAGATTGCACTGAATAGGAATAATGAGAAGTCACTAAGTAAGGTATCTTCCCATTACTTTTAATTCTGATCATTTATTTTAAAGAATTATTTGTGAAACCAAGTTATCATTTGAAAGTGTTTACAGTCAACAGTTCAGCATGTTTACCAACTTTTTCAGAAGGAACGACTTCTCTACATCATTAAATAACCAGATACATAGAAAGAAATGATAACTCCTGCAACAAACATGACAAATGACATACTTACAGCATATGCAGTATTCAAAGAATTGAGTATTAAAAAGATTTGTGATTAACTTGAAGTATACATTTTCAATTTTTGGATCATTGTCAGATCACATATAGGCTAAGAAGCACCTAAGAGTGTTTCAGTGTTTTAAAAAATTTTCCATTGATTCTTATTCTATTTTGACTATTTTGCCTATAAATCTAAATATATTAATCTATATATTTCTCTCTGTCTCTCTCTAAGTCTATACCCATAGGACATGCTTATTGATTTTAGAGACAGAGGGAGAAGAGACAGAGAGAGAGAGGCGGGGGACGGTGGCGGGGGAGAGAGAGACATTGATGTGAAAGAAAAGCGATGATCAGCTGCCTCTTGTATGCACGCCTACTGGGGACTGAACCCACAACCTAGGCAGGTACCCTGACCAGGAATTGAACGTGCAACTTTTGGTTTTGCAGGACAACACCCAACCAAGCCAACTGGCCAGGGCCGTATGTTTTTCTTTTTAATTCTTCGAATGCATATAAAACAATCCATTTAGAGAGGTGTGGCTAATGATGAGCCACACCTCTCTAAATAATGAAAATTCCAATGAAAAGCAAAGCAAATTGGCCTTTTATTGTACTGTGTGTTCTTGTAAAATTTCTGAAACACAAGAAATAGCTTATAATTTATTACTACTATTATTGGTGCATCCTTCACATTTTAGGAAACCAAGTTGAAAATCATTGTTCTCATGAATTGTGGAGGCAGTCAGAAAACAGAGATGAGTTGACAGTAGGACTGTTAGAAAAATAGGTACAGCTGATATTTTCTGCAATATCAGCAAGGTCAGCTACATGTCCCTCTATAATATTGTTCTCTGCAGTCAAGCAGATATTGAAACAAATATATTCCAACCTTGACACTCATCTTCACATTGTTTTCTTCTTGATATAGTATACCTATAAAAAGACTTGTCTAAAATCTTTTTTTGAAAGGCATGGGTTTTTAAATGGAGATGTAGGTCATGCTGTTGTAAGTTACTTTTTATAAATCTACAAAATAATGTCTATGGATATAGTCTTTTATTTACAGGAAATTTTAGCATTACTATACTTATCTTTAATAGTTAAATAGCATCATAAATTTATCATAGAGAAGCTTGAATTGTACCTATTTCTCCATTGTCTTTTGGGTTCTCTTCCTATAGCATTTTTTATATCAAATTGATGCAGAAGAACCAAGTAGGATTCCATAGGTCCGAATTATTTTATTAGAAAATTAGTCATAAGGTACTTCTGAATCTCATAAAGATATTACGTTTAATGATTCTTTTATTCAGCCTTTGGTTTACAATGCATGAGCTGCGTGACTGCCATTGTCTATTTTTCTCTATACTGCACTAGTGTTTTGTATTTTTGTTTGTTTTGTTTTGACATTTGTATCCAAGGACATGCTTATTGATTTGAGAGGGAGGGGAAGGAGGGAGCAAGAGAGAGAAAGAGGGAAACATCAATGTGAGAGAAACATCAATCAGTTGCCTTTTGCACACATCCTGACCAAGGACCAGGGACTGAACCTGCAACCTAGGCACGTGCCCTGATGAGGAACTGAACCCATAACCTTTTGGTTTATGGGAAGACACTCCAACCAACTGAGCCACACTGACCAGGTCTGTGCACTGGTGTTTTTTATTAAATATTTCCCCCACTTCCCCTGACCCACTATCTTTTTAATAAAGACACATAAATTAAAATTAAGATGTTATAAAATTACACTTACTTTTTTGTCTTTGTTGTATTTGGCAAATATCTCCTGTGCTCTCTCTTCTCCTCCATCCGTGAACAACATGATAATCTTATTGCAGTTAGCTCTGGAAACATTATACTGTAAAAAAATATATATATATATATACATATACCATTCATAATAAAGACTAGAAAGTATAAATCATATGAAAGAGTGTGAACAGATTGCAAGTAGTTAGTAAAATATATGCCTGATATGCATATTCTAAGAACCAATTTCTGGGTCAAGCCAAGATCACTCACACACAGAGCCTTCCCTTCAAGCCCCGCCCCCAGACATCCAGAGGTCTCAACTTCCTTCAGGTCTTTGGTCAAATTTCACCTTATCAGTGAGAACTTCCCTGAAAATTACATCCTAAATGCAATTGCCTTCCCAGGTTATACCTTTCTTCACAGCATTTTACACTCTTTTTTTTATATACATACACACACACACACACACACGCAAACACATTACATATTTTATTTGTTTGCTTCTTGTTGGCTTTGTGTTATTGAATATACCGTAAGTACCACGAGGACATTAAGTTTTGTCTGCTTTTGTTCAATGTTGTTTCCTTTCCAAGATAAGTGCCTAGAACATAATAAACTCTCACTGGTTAATTAGTAGATTTTAAATTAATTAACAGTTATGATGTTGATTTTATGCCCCTATAATTTATACCACAAACAATATTTATAAAAATTGTGCATACCCTTTCACACATATTTTCAATCCATTTACATTTTCCTCTCTCCCTTCCCTCATCTTACTTTATTCACTTTACACTTCTGAAATTGTAAACTTCTAGTTGATCCCTAACACCCAATGCTCTTTTATATCTTTGTGAATGCCCACACCTATTCCCAGAATATCCTCTCCTATTCTCTCTCAACACATGTTGTAATCCTGAAAGACTAAATTCCAATAACAAAGCCTCTCAAACTTTCTTTAAAGTCCCAAGAGAGTCAAACATGGGAGAACGATGGATTAGCATTAAAGGACCACTGTAGTAAACGATTGATTTAGAAATCTGGGCTGCTTTGAGGTCTGAAATTATAGTATTTTACTATTCTGAAATGTGTTTCTGCAAAAGTGTTAAAAAATTACACTAATTTATGAACGCTCACCTTCTTTCAAAATGCCAACCATCTGGTCAGCCCAGTGCTGTCAGTGGAGATATAAAATAAACCTAATATGAGATTTTAACTTCCCAATAGCCATGTTAAAGAAAGTAAGAGGAAATATCTGAAATTAATTCTAATAAAACATTTTATTTAACCCAGTCATCTAAAATATTATCAATATGAAATCAATATAAATATTCTTGAGACAGTATTTTTTCTTTCATGCTAAGTCTTCAAATCTCAATGTGTATCCTATACTCACAACAAACACACTTCAGTTCAGACCAGGCACATTTTTAGTATTTAACAGAACATGAGATTGTGGTTACCGTATTGGATAGCACAGCCCTGGCCTTTAAATTTCTAGTATGTATTTTTAAATCCTTAATTCTCCTGCAGTGTTTAAGTTTGTGGAGGTCCAAGCTCTATCTTACTTTTCAAATAAGATAAGTCCCATTTCCTGTTTTATAAGCTAATAAAGACAACATTTTGCTTTACTGATAAAAAGATCCTGTTTTATATAATCACACTCCAGGGACTGGGCCATTAGAACATTGGCCGCGAGAGCCTTCATCCGAGCATTGTGAAAATACAAGTATCTGCTAGTGCAATTTGTCTCATTCAAACGTGTTCTTATTTTTGAAAGCAACTGTCTGAAAATTTGACTATACAAAAAATTACATATTTTATTATCAAAATACTTTTGTGAAAGGTGTTGAAATCCCTTAACTAAAATTATTTCCCTGGTTTGTCTTTTTTATCTGCATATTAAAAATGGGCAATATAATATGTATCTAAAGGACTGTCTCATTAAAGTGGTAAAGTAAGTAGAGTTTCTATAGCAAGCCTTGGTTTCCTTTTGGAAGTTGTGTAGGTAGTTATTACTGAATACAAATATCATTAAGTTAGCACACTGGGTCCTGCTGACCATTGTATATTTCTATAAATAAAATAATAAAGTCCTTTCCCAGGAGAGAAAGATATAAAGACATGCAAAAATGGAAATAAAATGTTCTGTTTTCAACATGACTTTTCCTAGGAGTAGCCTTCTCAGGACTTTTGATAAAGCAAAGTATATTATAGCATCTTTTCAGTGGACATGCAATTATCTAAAGAATCACACAGTCACAACAGTTATACCTTACTAGCTTGCAAGAAATTAAGTAAAAAAAGGAAAATGACTATTTTAATAAAATTATAATTTGAGTTGTTAATTTACTTTAATGTGTTATTTTGTAACCTGCTTTGTTGGATCTCTGTATGGCTAGTGCATAGAGCAGCATCTATCACATATGTACTCAATCAAAATTTTCTGAAAACTGCATCTCAAATATTGAGTAATATTATATGAAATGCTACCTGAAGAATAATTCAAACAGTAATTTAAGGTTTGCTATGGGATAAATGCTATGTCTAATTCTATTTGACATTCACTTCAGTGATTTTAAAGGAAAACCTTGCAAAGGCATACAAAAAACAGAGAATGGTACTGCATGATAAGGGGAAGATCAGATATCTCTGAAAGACATAACAAAATATGCTCCAACTTTGAATAAGGCAGACCAGGGCATTTGGGAAAATTATTTTAAAATGAAGAAAAGTAATATGTAAGGGATGTGTGAAGCAGAACATGGAGATTTACATCAGGAAAGACAAAGACATATTAAAAATCATTTACAATGGTGATAAAGGCAGCACTAGAAGCCAACAGGAGTAAAGTTCTATTTAATCAGCAAATAGTAATGAATCTGGGAGTTAATGCGGCCTCTCTAATGAGACTGCCCCTGAAATAGTACATTAGCTTGAGACACCTTAGCATTTCACAGTTGAAACCTGAATAAGAGGGAAGGAAATGAAGCAAATTAATGATACTAAGAGAAACTATTAAACTGCCCAGATCTAGAAAACTCAATTATTGACTCCAGAGAAAATAGTTTTTATTTAAAAAAATCATATTCCTTTTCAATAGAAGGAATCTAGCTAAATCTAATGGTCAGTTATGTTTGAATTTCAAAGTTTTAAGTTTTCATATTTTTATTAATTAACATAAATCATTTAACAAGCATGAATTTTACCAAAGATAACTTCCCTAGAAAACTGAGGTGCTGAACTGCTTTGCTTTTTTGTCTCTACTTGCTTATCTAATGGCATCTAATAAACATCCCCACCTCAAACTCAACATAACTGAAACTGAGCTCTTTCTACATTAACAGTCCCTCTATTTATAGTTCTGTGCCATCGTCTACTTACTATTCTAGTTCAGAGAAATTATAGCCACCCAAATCCCGTTCCCCACTTCAGCAATCTCTTCCTCCGTCCAATTACCACGTTACTCCCTAACATCTCTTCACTACTATTCCAACACCAGGATTTCCACAAGAGCTTAATTAGAACACTAGCTAAGCATGTCATTTTCATACCATAAACTTTCTATGTGCTCCTAAATACTTCATTACTCATGGTCTTTACATCTCCATCACTGCTCCTATATTGCTATGTCCCTGCCAAGCCAAACTGCCTGCAATTCTTACAATGTTCCATGTAGTCGGACATACTTCCGTGCCTTTGTCCATGTAGTTCTTTTTCCCTTCTCTCAAATACCTGCCTAGATTCTACTCATTCCTCAAAATCCTGTTTTCAAAGAAATGCCATTCTTTCCTGAACTCCTTCAGGTAGGCGGAGTCCCTCCTCCATGTTGTGCCAGTAACACACTCTAAGTGCCCTGTAATGGCCCTAACACATTGTCCTAGGGACGGTGACAGTGTATTCTGGAGCTTCTTAAGAGCAGATGTTCTTGATTATTTCTCTAATTCCAGTTCTAGCCCATGACAGGAAATTGTGAGACAATAAATATTCGCTAAATGAACAAATGAATGAATCAACTCATCAGACATTTCGAAAACTGCTTCCAAGACTCACACAGGGAACGACAAAGTCAAATTTTCAGAAAAGGCCACATGGAAGGGCTTATTCAGTGATTCAGCAAATATGATAGGAATTATGTGCTGATGTTACACTGGCCAGGGGCTAGTCGTTAGAGAAATACTGATCTTGACTCTAACACCAGCCCAACAGCTTGCATACGTGTGATGTTTGCTGGGTGTCAGATTCTGTAAACAATCTTGTTCACAACTCTCTGGTGAACACGTCATGGTGAGGTGTGTTGGGTGTCAGATTCTGTAAACAATCTTGTTCACAACTCTCTGATAAACACGTCATGGCGACCTCCACTGTATGAGTGAAGAAACCAAGGTACAGAGCTGTTAGGTCTACAGGCTCGCCCATAGTGAAGATACAGTCACTGGAGAGATACAAAACTGAACGATAGCTCCTGCTCTCAAATTGTATAAAGCGAAAAAGATGGCATGGCCATTTCAAAATACAGTCCTGAGTGAGACACCTGCAATAATATGCATCGGGCAGGAGGCATGCCAGAGTCCAATGGTCTAACTAGAGATATTGGTGGGTGATTTGTTCATGGGAATGTTCCCTGAGGAAGGAAATCCTGCTCTGGGCCTTATCTCCCCATTCAACTTACTGTCTACCATTTGCACGTTTCTGTACATTTAGAAACCATTTAAATACCCAAAACAGATGTTTCCAGCAACCATTTGATGATTAAAAGCACAAGTTTCCTATAAATACTGTGGTAGTTGAGATAAGAAAAAAGAAATGATATTCTAAATATGCCAAATAAGCTTGAGTGCTTATGCAATATTAAATTATTACTGTATGTTTTTAAACATATTTTGAAAATATGATAGAAAAAATATTTAAAATGAAAGGAAAATATAAATTGTGTATGCCTTTTGAATTTTGATTTAAAAATAAACATAGTTCAAAGATTTCTATTGCTTGGACAAATCTGCTTTCTGAACAATGAAACACTGTTATATAACCCTAGATAGCATTGACTATCAGGATAATGAAATTAAGTTACTGCAATTCAATAATAAAAGGAAAAAGGGATGGTACTGATACTTACATTGAGCAGCTGTTCAAAAGCAAAGCTAAAGCCCTTCTTATAATCTGTGATTCCTTTTGCTGTGATATTATTCACGGCATCTTTCAGTACTTTCTTATTTCTTACATTTGCTTGTACAAGGTGCTGAAAACAGCTTACATCCTGGGCATTGCTGTTAAACTGCAAAAGATAAAATGGTAATACATAAAGGAACATTAAAATCAACCATGAAGTTTTGTTGAATATATTATTTATACTTCTCAGTCCCAATATATTGCTTTCTCTTTAAAAAAATATAGAATACATTGGTAACAAAAGTACACTAAGAAGCAAAGGATAATTTTCATCTAAGCCCCAGATTCATAGTGTAACTCTGAGCCTGTCACTTACCTCCTGAAGCCTGGTTTTCCTGATTAGAAATTTGGGATTTGAGTTATATGCAGCCTCCCAGCACTCAAATTTTATGAGCATTTAGACAAGGTAAATAAACAAACAAATAAATAAATAAAATGCACTGATATTCCAGAAATGATATGGTGATGCCTGTGCAGGATTGAGGGAGAAACTGAATATTTTACTTGCCCCTCATAGGGAAAAGCGATGTGGAAAAATAGTACACTGAATTAAAGGAAGGGAAGTTTAATAATTTTGAAATTTGAGAATAAGAGTCTTCCTATAGGGGTTAAAACAGAAAAGCAATTTGAAATTGTCCAGAATACCTAGTGGTCTTTTAGAACTATCGTTCTAGAGTCCAGAGGTTCTAAATAGAATTCAGCGAAATCTGGGAGGCAAGCAAAGGGCAAGAGATCACCGCACAGAGTTACTGTTGTTAAGTGTTGTGTCCATGAACAACAAAGAGGCTGTTAAGGGAAGAGGACAGAAACTCCAACCATACTTGCCCCAAATTGAAAATTTAAGAATGATCACCAAAGTAATTTCACCAATCTCATAAAAAGTATTCACACAGCTCATTGGATATTTCCAAAAAGATAAGAACAATAGGAGTACTGCAATAAGATTCAGAATACTGAATGAATAGGATCACCTTCTCATTTATTAGCTTTGCTATTTGTGTAAGTCCTTTAGGATCCTGGAGTTTAGACTGTCACATCTGCAAAACGAGAATAATGAAATCATTCTTGCTAGAAGGTAGAGGGCTTGCCTTGTAAAACTTGAAGATATTCTTAGATCAAAAACATATAATTAAATGATCCTAATAGGTGAATTACAAGCTAAAACACAAATTTTGTGATTACATATTCCTATAAATATAATGCATCAGTCTTTTTCCTCTGAAGATCACTGCAGTCTAAATATGAGGTGCACTGCACTTTTGTTTAATCCATTAAGCAACTAGCAGTCTGTTATATGTCAAGAATCATAGTAGGTGATAGTTTTGTGCCCTCAGACAATATGCAAACTAGGCATGTATGTACACACATTTTTATTTGTATGTGTGTAAATACTTATATTGTGTTTCCTATGAGCTGCATTTACTGTTTACTCTATTAATATTAATAATTCCTCTTGGAGAATGCCCTATAAAAATCAGTGTTACTAGTATCCATGAAGAAACTTAAGCATAGGGAAATTAAATAACTTGTTCATAGTCACATAGCAAATAAATGATAGAGTCAGAATTCAGACTAGCAGTTAGACAGATGAGACTGAGATTTTAACTATTCCCATACCACCTCTCAATATATTACATTAACTTATTATTATTTTTGAAAAAGAAATATTTTGCTCTAGGATACGATATCAGAGGCATGGGCTGTAATTTAAGTTGTGAGCAGTTAGGGGGGAAATTCTCCTGAAAATGGCATTTCCTGTGATTCCAGAGAAATGTTTCCTTGAATGCTGTGGAGGGAGAACATTCCAGGCAAACAGAACAACATGCAAAAAGACCCTGATGTTGGGGGATGGGGGAGCTTTTAGGGAAACATAAAAAAATAGTTTAACTCAGTCTCATATGAAGACAAATGATATAAAATGAGTTCAGGGAAGGAGGAAGGGGCTAGATCATGCAAGGTCTAATGGAAATGCTGAAGAATTGGGATTACATTTTTTGTCTAATAGAAAGTCATAGAAAGATTTTAAGCCAAATTCAAAATAGCATAATCTGTAATTTTGAGAGATCACCCCAGCTTTGTTTGGGAAATGGAATTAAGGTGAGCCAAATTTAAAGGAGAGGGAATAATTAAAGGCTAATGAGGTAACCAAGCAGAACATATCATTTGGCTTTGTAATTTGTAGAAATGGTCAGAGAAGAAGGGATTCCAGCTCTATTTTGGAGGCAGAGTCAATCGGATGTGGTGGTGGACTGGGTATAAGATTGAATAAGAGAGCGATGTCCTGAATGACTCTCGTTCCGACACGGGCGTCTGGATGGCTGGGTGACTCGGGGAGCGACGAGAGGACGGGAACACTAGGGCAGAGGAGCACAGAGTCTGCGGAGGGGGAGTTTTCAATATAAGTGAGCTATGCAAATGGGGATATCAAGAAATCAGAACATTTAAAGCATGAGGCTCAGAAGAAGTCTTGGGTAGAGTTAGAAAAAATTCTTCAGCATAGACATTTGGTTTAGCACAAACCATGTGAATTAAAAGTGAACTAGGGGAGGAGTCCTTGAGAAAACTGAGGGAGAGTTAAGTTGTCATGGAGGCAAGAAAGAAACAAGGTATTTGGACTGTCTTGGGTGAAGAGAGATAAAAAAAGAGTCCTCAGTAAGTGACATTGCAAAAACGTCTCCGGAAGATGACACGGCAGTTCAGAGATGGAGATGAGGACTCACTAAGCTCATTCATGCTAGCTATGCAGGCAGAGCCCGGCAGGACGCACGGAAGAGCAATGGAAAGTGATAGCGTGGGTCAAGGATCACCGTCAATGCACCCTGGCTGTGAAGCAGAGAAGAAGGTGGTACCTATAATGGTAAATGTGGGGTCAAGTAAAGGCTGCCTTAAAATGAAGGGTCTCGTCCTGGCTTGTGTGGCTCAGTTGCTTGGAGCATTGTCCCATAAACTGAAATGAAAGGTCACAGGTTTGATTCCCAGTCAGGGCATATACCTAGATTGTGGGTTCAGTCCCTGGCTGGGGCATCTGTGAGAGATAACCATTCAGTGTTTTTCTCACATCGTGTTCTTCTCCCTCTCCCTCTCTCTCCCTCCCTTCCCCTCTCTCTAAAAATCAGTAAGTATGTCCTTGGGTAAGGGTAGAAAAACAAATTAAAATGAAGGTTCACTAGAGCAAGAGAGGACTGATATTAAACATCAAAGAAAGGAAAAGACAGGAAATAGAAAAGAGTTGAAAAATAAAGTTCTGGTGAAAGTGGGGAAGAACGGAATATAGCCGGCATCTATAAAAATGACCGTTTAGGACAACAGGTATTGACTCCACTGTTGCAGGAAGGAAGAGTGGGAGCTGAGTACAGGTGCTGGGTGAACATGGATTTGGTGTTGAAAAGATGATCGTTATTACCTGTGTCTTTTGTCCCCAGTAAACAATGAGGCAAGGTCATCAGGATAAAGAGAGGAGATGGTTTGGAGAGAGTGAAGATTAAATAGTTAAGTAAAATGTTCCGCACAGATAAATAATTTGAGTTCTTTCTTACTTTTACATTGAACACTAACTACTCTCAGGTACATCATATATATGAGAACAAAGCTCCAATATATTTTCCTGTTTTCTGTAAATTTGAATGTTTAAAGCTCAGTGTCTTCGGTTCCAAATCTAAATCCCACTGCTCATTTCATCACTTTCTGTTCTTTCATAATGAGACTCAATCTTAATCTACACGTTCTGTTCTGAAAATAAAAGAATGTGAGAATTTCCATGTTAGAAAGTAAAAAGAAAAAATAGTTTGCCAATATATTAATAGCAAAATGTCTAACCTTAGAGAACTGTTAGCTATGGTTATAGGAACTATTATTTTCTGATTTAGTTAAACCATTAATCGTGATAAAATTACGGTAAGCAGAAAATGAGCATTGAATAATGTATTGACCTGAGTCTTCTAATTGGCCTTGACCTGCTTTTAACACAGAGAAGTGAAACATCTCATTAAGTCACTTTAACACAAACTGATTAAATGTAAATTCAATTCATTAAATCCAAATTCAGTGTGTATAGCAAATATTACAATTATATTCATAACAAAACTCATAAATAATGCAGAGAAAGAAATAACTTACAAAGTATAAGTCCCTATAGCAAATCTTATTCTCCTAAGGAAAGGGATCACAAATTTTAAAAGCCTGAATTAGATAAGTATATATTTCACAGACATCTGATATTCATCTGCTTTTAGAACAGGAAAAAAAAAGTTTATTTTTATGAACTGAAATTGCAGTCCTTGTAACACTTGCCTGGGTTCTATTTCATAAACCACATATTTAATATACAAACCACATATCTACTAAAAGTCATAGGGCAAAAGTTTGACAACACAGCACTATAAAACTCTGAAATAGTATGTGGTGAGTAAAAATAAGGAGCCTTGCTTTTGTCATCTATTAAGAAAACACATCATATAAAAATGTATTTTTAACTAACCCTGTGGAGTCAGAAATTCAAGTTAAAATCACACTGATTCCTTTCCTGATCCCCCAACATTCGACTAAGTGGGTCCCTTCTAGAACTGCTGAGAAAAATCTCTGTGAGCACCTGAGACAGTGAAGTATGTGGGGCGACGTGAGCATCTGGTTAGAGATCACAAGGGGCTTGGTAACTGCTCCCGCGTGTGGACATCCGCTCAGTCCCCGTTTCCCAGGCCGGCCCCTGCGGCCTGCGGCGCTCTTCCTCTCCTCTACAGCCGGTGTCCCGCTTAACTCGACGCTGTTCCTTGTAAAAGGCTCTCATAACCTTCCCTGACTAGGTCAAATCACATCATTATACGCACTCCTAAGCCTAGATTTATCTTTTTATAGAACATATCACAGTTACAATTTCATATTTCTGTCACTGTCTTGACTGACTGGATTAGAAGCCAATATGGTCAAAGAAAATGGGATCCCACCACTGCATCTCAGACTTGGCATATAATAGGTATGCTCTACAGATTTACTGAATATATGTATGGAGTTTAGGAAAATTAGAAGATGGCACAAAACTTTAATCAATAATTAAGCTATAGACGTATTAGCGTAGAGACTGTACTTTAGCTATGCAATATGTGTTTATAC